GTCAGGGATACATTTTTTCCCTATTATATCATTTTTTATGGAAACTTCCAGACTTATTCAGATGGGAGGCGAGGACAAAAGCCCACATTTCTCCAGCATTTCAATCAACAGCCTCATTTTCTTCCAACAGTTGAAGTTCTTATGAATAATGGATGACAGCCTGATGAATATGCACAAGGCCCATTATGCCTGTGAGATTTGGTAAATAATTTATGAGATAAAATGGTCCTCACCTTGTTACTGTACAAAGATTGTAGAAAAAAAAAAAAAAAGGAGCCATGTTTACCTTTGGAGCTAGTAGGGTGATTTGTCAGAGACAGCCACAGCAGCCCAGCATCACAATTTTACACCACTGCTATAATTAAAGTAAATAGAATAAAATACTATCAGTGCATTTCAGAGCCAGGGGTTGGGGGAGGGGTGCAGGCCACAAAAATTGGGCCATGGGGCTGCGGCTATGGCATAGCGGGTAAAGCAACTGCTGCCTGCAGTGCCAGCATCCCATATGGGTCTCGGCTGCTCCACTTCTGATCCAGCTCTCTGCTATGGCCTGGGAAAGCAGTAGAAGATGGCCCAAATCCTTGGGCCCCTGCACCTGTGTGGGAGACCCAGAAGAAGCTCCTGGCTCCTGGCTTCGGATTGGTGCAGCTCTGGCTATTGCAGCTGATTGGGGAGTGAACCAGCAAATGGAAGACCTTTCTGTCTCTGTCTCTCTCTCTCTCTCTGCCTCTCCTCTCTCTGTGTAACTGCCTTTCAAATAAATAAATAAATCTTAAAGAAAAAAAATAGGGCCCCTTTTTCTTCCTTTCCCTCGCTCTGGCTTCTTGCTAGTAGGGGGCTGGCTGTAACCTGGCCCCTCCAGGGCGTGTGGCCTTTGGGCCACCCACCCTATGCTTTCGGGCCTAGATGCTCTTCCACGTGGCTGGTTCCTGGTACTTGGTATGAATCCAGATTTACCCCCTCTCTCTTAGATAAAGCTCTTACTCTCCTATGCATCTATCTCACTAAATAAATGCTTAAAATGTTAAAAAAAAAAAAAATGGGGCTTGCACAGCTGTACTCCTTGCTACACTGTGAGTTGTCAAGTCTCTGGCTTCTCATCTTAGTGTATCCTTGCGTTGTGGCCAGCATGTGGGGCCCTTCTCCCTCATGGCCCAGTCTCCTCCCAGGACTTCAGAAAGACCAGCCAAGACTGACTACCACTCCCTTGTTTTATGAAAACTAGCCAAGAGGGGCTGGCGTTGTGGCCTAGAGGTTAGGCTACCCCCTGTGATGCCAAGGCATCCCATGTGAGCGCTGATTCGAGTCCTGGCTGCTCCACTTCCGAGTCTGCTCCCTGCTGGTGGCCTGGGGGGGCAGTGGAGGATGGCCCAAGTGCTTGGGACTCTATACCCACTCACATGGGAAGCCCAGAAGAGGCTCCTTACTCCTGGCTTCCACTTGGCCCAGTCTCTCTCTTTCCTTCCCTCTCTGTAACTCTGCCTTTCAAATAAATAAAAAGTGTTTAAAAAGAAGAAAAGAAAACTAGTCTAGAAGCCCTTGGAGAGGCATTGCTGCTTTTGCACCTGTCACAGCAGTTTTTCTTGCTGACCAGTTGGGGGCCCCCACTGCATCATCTCCCACCTGCCCTCGGCCTTATTCCCTTAGCAACATGGAGGGTGTTGAAGGGGTGGCTGCAGGGCAAGGTGGGGGGAGCAGCAAGGTTGACTATGGAGGTAAAAAGGGAGTCTGGGAAGTGTGCATGGGTCCTGGCAAAACCTGGCTGCTGCATGACACACTTTGGAAGGCTAGGACCTAGGTCAGTTCTCAAGCTCAGGAGGAGGAGCCTCAGGGACTTAGCTCCCATGAGCTCTCTAGATCCAGCAGCAAGGAGGACCCTTACTGCCGAGGACAGACTATCCTTCACATGTTAGACTCTCCGAGATGAGGAGACAGAGGAAGCAGGAGAGGTGTTTGATGCAGCAGTTAAGATGCCGCAGGGACTTCACGGTGCCTGGGTTTGAGCACTGGCTGCTCTTCCAGTTGTTCCTTCCTGCTCATGTGCACTCTGAGGAGGTAACTGTCACCCATGTGGGAGCTCTCGGCTCCCAGCTTCACCCTGCTAATGCACCTGGGAAAGCAGTGGAAGATGGCCCAAGTGCTTGGGTCCCTGCCACCCACGTGGGAGACCCAGATGGAGTTCTAGGCTACTGGCTTCATTTAGCCTGGCCCAGCCCCAGCCTTTGCCTCCATTTGGGGAGTGAACCAGCCAAAGATTTCTGTGTGTGTATATGTCTCCCTCTCTATGTAACTGCCTTTCAAAAAAAAAAAAAAAAAAAAAAAGTTCATGGAAACAGAATTAAAAGGTAAGTTTACTTTGGTTTAAAACATTTAAAAAAAATTCATGCATTTTGGGCTGGTGCTATGACATAGTGGGTAAAACCGCTGCCTGCAGTGCCAGCATCCCATATGGGTGCCGGTTCGAGTCCCAGCTGCTCCATTTCCAATCCGGCTCTCTGCTGTGGCCTGGGAAAGTAGTAGAAGATGGCCGAGATCCTTGGGATCCTGCACTTGCGTGGGAGACCAGGAAGAAGCTCCTAGCTCCTGGCTTTGGATCGACTCAGCTTCGACCATTGTGGCCATTTGAGGGAGTGAACCATAGGATGGAAGACCTTTCTCTTTCTCTCTCTCTGCCTCTCTGTAGCTCTGCCTTTCAAATTAAAAATAAATCTTTAAAAAAAATTCATGCATTTTTCCCCTAGCACACATTTTCCATGAACTTTCTGAAAATCCTGTGTATGCATGGCTTTCAATTATTTTTACACTAAAATAAGTTTACTTTTAATTCCATTTCTTCCATGAACTTTAAAAAAGAAAAAAAGATTTACTTGGGTCCAGTGCTGTTGTGTAGCAGGTAAAGCCACTGCCTGCAGTGCCAGCATCCCATATGGGCGCCGGTTCAAATCCTGGCTGCTCCACTTCTGATTCAGCTCTCTGCTATGGCCTGGGAAAGCAGCAGAAGATGGTGCAAGTCCTTGGGCCCCTGCAGCCGCGTGGGTGACTGGAAGAAGCTCCTGGCTCCTGGCTTCAGATTGGCTCAGCTCCGGCCGTTGCAGTCATTTTGGGAGTGAAGCAGCGGAATATGAAGACCTCTCTCTCTCTCTTTCTGGCTCTACCTCCCTCTGTAACTCTTTCAAATAATTTTTTTAAAAAAAGAGAAATGCATATTCCTTAAATATTTAAGCAATGCACAAGTAAATACAATGTAAATTAACGGTTTCTTTTTCCTAAAGAAAACAGTTCATATTTTGCTGGGTGTCTGTCTGAACATCTCTGATCCCATTTATATCTTTTTTCAAACTGCCCCTTACATTATGGGTGGCATCCAAAGACCCTGATGTAGCTACCTGTGGCAACAAATCAAGCCACATAGCCGGGGAGTTTCTGCCTTCTCTACAAAGTTCAATGGCAGTGTTCAGCTCTTCACATAAAGAGCCACAGGACATACAGAAGGGAGTAAAGTCACACTAGGGCTCTCAAAGAGTTACAGCCCAGGGAGCCAGACCTCAGATGACCAGCCAAGCAAAAGCTTCCAGAGCGATAAAACCAGGCCGTGTAGCAGAATTTCACACAGCCCCTAAAATGAGTTCAATTGTACAGCTCTATATCTTACAATTATATAAAGCTGTTTTCTCTTTTTTTTTTTTAAAGATGTGTTTATTCAAAAGGCAGGGAGAAACAGAGAGCTTCCATCAGCTGGTTCACTCCCTAAATGGCAGCAAACGTTGGGGCCGGGCCAGGCTGAAGTCAGGAGCCAGGAGCTTCTTCCAGGTCTCCCATGCGGGTGCAGGGGCCCAAGCATTTGGGTCATCTCCTGCTGCTTTCCCAGGTGCGTTAACAGGGAGCTGGAACGGAAGTGGAGCAGCTGGGACTGGAACCGGAGTTCCGATATGAGATTCCAGTGTTGCAGGCAGCTGTGCCCCAAGGCCAAATCCAGAGCTAGCTGTTTTCAAAGCTTCTCCACATTGCAGGCTCACAATTAAACTTAACAAAGTGGTCGTTACAAATAGTACTGCTGTTTTACAAGTCATGGATGAGGTTGCCTGGACTGCTGGAGAAAGCCCTGAGCTAAAGTACTGTGACTCTGCACCCCGGGGTCACCTGCCAAAGGGCCCTGGCCATGCTCCTCACTTTCAAGTGGGTAGAGCCAGCCAGGGCTCCAACCCTAGCTCTGCGGGGCCGGCGGACAACGCCAGCCCAGAGAGGAAGCAGGGGCCCCTGGCCGCCAGGAACTCCAGAGCCAGCCCTGAGGCTCTGGAGCCTGCTGGGCGCTGCCCCCGCCCCTGAGGAGCAGAGGGGCAGTCTGGGGGCGGCCGAGGGTTCCCCTGCCACCCTCCCCACTCGCCCACCTCCAGGGGGAGTGCGGCACGCGGGGCTCAGAACAGGCTGCCCGCGGTGGCTTCCACACCCGAGGGCTGACAGCGCCTGCCTTCTCTCCGATTTGTCTCCTACTTCCCTGTTCTGCTTTCTCTTAGCCCCCAAATTTGCTCTTTTTAGCCCTCCCCCGGACCCGGGTCAGCTCCCGGGGCACAGGTGGCGGCCCCCGCATCCCACGCCAACTTTTTCTTGTCCACCTGCGCAAGGCGCCGGGAAGCTGCGTCCTGCGGCCCACGGGCTGCAGCCGGCCGGGCCACGTCCGAGTCGGCTCTAGGCGCGGCTGGGGAGTTGACATGAACTTGACTCTGGACCAGCGCAGGGCACCGACCCCCAAGGCGGCACGCTGGCTGAGAGCCCGGGTTTCCGCCCCACCCCCCATCAAGGGGTCCATGGCGCGGGGCCCCCAGCTCTGGCTGCGGGACTCGGACCTCACTCCCGCACCTCCGGGGATCCCCGCGCCCGTCCCGCCAGACAAACTCGGGCCCCGCCCGGCCGGCGCCCGCTGTCCCGCCCCGCCCCCGCCCCCGCCGGCCGCGGGCTCCTTGTCCCCTCCCTTCCCTGCCCGCCCCCGGCGGCTGGCGCGGGCGGTGCAGCATGCGGCAAAGCGCTTTGCATAAATTATGCTCATGACGCAGCAGCTAAAAAAATCCAAGTAGCAGTAGGAGGGGAAAGGGGGGGCGGCAGGGGGGGTCGGGGAAGGGGGGAGAGGAGAAAAATACACACCTGGCCGCCCCCCAAGCCTCCCCTTCCCGCCTCCCGGCCGCCCCCTCCGGCTCTGCCCGGCCCGGGCTGGGGGCCCGGGGGCGGCGGCGGGTCCCGACCGGCGTCCCGGCCGAGCCGAGCCCAGCCCGGCCGCACTGGCTCCTTTGTCTGCGGGCGGCGGCCGCCCCGGCCCCGGCTCCGGCCCCCGGGCCCCGGCTGTGCGATGAGCCTCTGATCGGTGGCCGCCGGCACCGCGCGAAGCGGCTCGGGCTCGGGCTCCGGTGAGTAGCGGGGTCCGGGCGGGGAGGGGTTTGCACGGAGGGGGAGGGGGCCGGGCAGGGGAGGTTTCGGGTTTGGTTAATATGCAATGCCCGTAATTAGCATAATTTATATATTTATGATAAAGAGAAAAAAAGCCGCAGGGCCCGGGCGGCGGGACATGGGGCTGGGGCGGGGAGAGCCCCGGGACGGGGCCGCACCCCCGGGCCGCGCCCGAGCAGCCGACCGCCGACCTGGGAGGGGAGGGGGCGGCCGCCAGGTGGACCCGGGGACTGGGGGTGAGGCCCGGCCCGGCCCCTCTCCGCTGCTGCCCCTGAAGTCCAGGTTGGGGACAGACCACAGGGGACGGACGCTCTGCACTCACACCGGCGGCGATCAGGAGCGGATCCTCGCGGCCCCCCCCACCCCCCGCGGGAGGACCCCGGACTCCTGTGTTCCCGGCAGCTGGGACCACCTGTCGTGATTCTCCTGAGCCCGGGAGAACTGATGGGTCTTGGGGTCAGGGGTCCCCGCGTTGCTGGAAGGCCAGCGGGGTGGTGGGAGGGTCTCCATCGACTGGAGCATGAGCACTTCATAAATATTTAATAGCAATGTTATTATTAATAATAGTCATCATAATGGGCCCGATGTGTCCTTGCCAGATAGGCTCACCTGGCAAGGCCAAGGGAGCCCCCGGGGCCTTCTAAGCTCGGCTTTAGCCTGGGGAGCCCTCACCAGCCACGATGGAAAGCCTAAAACCTTGTCAGAGGAGCTTCTGCCCCCCAGCAGGGGCCGACAAAAAGCGTCAGGAAGGCTTCCTGGGTAGGAGGAAAGAGACTTTGCAGAGGTTGTAGGCTCCTCTGCTCCTGCTGATTCCTTGCACCAAAGTCAAGGGCTGGTTTTCCATGGTTCCTATCCATACATTCCTCTTCCCCTTGTCTTGGTGGCCTGAGACAGCCTAGGCGTTCCAGGGAATAATTCTATGCACTGCATTTGGATCCAAATCCTGGAGCTTAGGGTGACATGGCTGCGTGCCCATGTTGCTTTGCATGTCTTCTGAGGACTTTCATGCCTTCTTTCCTTGGTTCAACAAAAATCCCCACCAAGTGCCATGTTCTGAGTAGTTCACGCAAAGCTTTATTCTGTCATGGACTTTTCACTCTGGGGGTGGGCAAGCAGGTTATCAGTGTAAAAACTAAGGAGATAAAACCACCGAGTGATTGTGTGTGTCTCTGCATGTGTGCATGTCTGTGCACACGTGCGTGTGCATGTGCACGCGTGAGATGAACTGTTCTTTCTTCCTAGAAGTTGCCCCACCTCATAATTAAGGAAACTGAGTTAGAAGAAATGTACTCATTTTTTAAAGATTTATTTATTTATTTGAGAGGCAGAGTTATAGAGGCAGAGAGAGAGAGAGGTCTTCCATCTGCTGGTTCACTCCCCAGATGACTGCAACAGCCAGAGCTGCACCAATACAAAGCCAGGAGCCAGGAGCTTCTAGGTCTCCCACATGGGTACAGGGGCCCAAGGACTTGGGCCATCTTGTACTGCTTTCCCAGGCCATAGCAGAGAGCTGGATCGGAAGTGGAGCAGCCAAGACTTGAACCAGAGCCCTTATGGGATGCTGGCACTGTAGGAAGTGGCTTTACCTGCTACACCACAGCGCTGGCCCCCATTTAAAAAAAAAAAAAAGATTTTATTTTACTTATTTTAAAGCAGAGTTACAGGGAGAGAGGGAGAGACTCAGATTGAGAGAGAGAGAGAGGTCCTCCTCCATTCTCTGGTTCATTCCCCAAATGGCTGCAATGACCAGGGCTGGGCTGGGCTGAAGCCAGGAGCCAAGAGCTTCATCCCGGTCTCCCATGTGGGTACAGGGGTCCAAGCACTTGGGCCATCATGGGCTGCTTTCCCAGGTGCATTAGCAGGGAGCAGGATTGGAAGCAGAGTAGCTGGGACTCAAACTGGCGCCCAGCAAGGGGTATTGGAATTGCAAGCGGCAGCAGCTGAGTCTGCTGTATCACAGTGCCATCCCCATACAGCTTTGTCATGGTCAACATGTTTTACATATGTTAATTTATTATTTATATTCATTTCAGTTGAAAGACAAAGATCTTTCAGCTACTGGTTTGCTCCCCAAATGCCTGCAACAGCTGGAGTTGGGTCAGGCTAGGAGTCAGAACTCAATCTGGGTCTCCCATATAGATGCCAAAGGAAGCAGGAAGCTGGAATAGGAAGCAGAGCCAGGACTTGAATCCAGACACTCTGACATGGGGTGCCCCAAGTGGTCTGTTAACCCCTAGACAACACACCCACCAGCAATCTAATATTTGAATCCAAGTTTTCCTTGGAAGCTCATACTGTCATCTCCCCTCGATCCTCAGCTTTTTCATCTATAAAATGAGGATGCTGGTAGCTAATGTCATTGTTCCTGGTGTTTTGCACAATTTCAGGGTAGCCTTTTTTTTTTTTTTAAGATTTATTTATTTGAAAGGTGGAGTTGCAAAGAAGGGCAGGGTGTCTTCCATCTGCTGGTTCACTCCCCCAATGACTGCAACTGCCAGAACTGAGTTTGGGCCCATCCAAAGCCAGGAGACAGGAGCTTCTTCCAGGTCTCCCATGCAGGTGCAGGGGCCCAAGGTCTTGGGCCATCTTCTACTGCTTTCCCAGGCCATAGCAGGGAGCTGGATCGGAAGCGGAGCAGCCGGCACTGCAGGTGGCAGCTTTACCCTCTATGCCACAGAGCTGGCCCCAGGACAGCCTCTTATAAGGAGTTATCAGAGAACACAGAGCAGTAACGTGCTGGCTACAGACACGTACATAGTTGGCCAAGTTTGAGTTTTTGTGTCCCTAACCACTGGGCTCCGTGGCCCCGTGTTGCTGGTGTCAGAACTAAATGACAACACTTGCCATTTATCAGATCCTTCTACAATTACTACAATACTGTCTCCATTTCTGGTCTGCTCACTGAGACATAGGGAGGTAAGCCTTTGCCCACGGTCTCACAGCTAAGAAGTGGTAAAACTAAGAGATGTACCTGCTTCCTCACTGCTACACTAAATTAAAAGACATAATTGAGATCATATATGTAAATTATAATATCTACCACTTGCAACCCACGAGGCATTGATCTAAACTTTTCTGCATGTGTGAGTTGTTCAGTCCTCATGCTAGCCCTCTGAAAGCAATGCTATTTCTCTCAATACAAGAAAAAACTGAGGTGCAGAGGAGCAATCATTTGTCCCAAGTCCCACAAGCTAATATATCAGCGCTGACATGTTGAACCTGACAGTGTGTCTTGAGAGTGTGTCATTGACGCCCCCCCCAACAGCATGTGCAAATGGCCTGGGTTCACATAGATAGTGATTATCATTCTTCAGCAGGTAGGATGGGAAATCCATGTCCTGGGGCCAGGATTGGAAAGAGATGGGAGGACATGCAGGAACCCCATCAGGTGGTGACACCTGGAGAGGAAAGTGGCTGCGTGGTGTCTGTTGATTAAGAAGGTGCAGGAAGGGGTGCGGTGTCCTTTACTCCACAGACTGGAGCCGTGTGGCTTGGGGTGGTGGTAGTGGTGGTGGTGAGGAGAGGGGAATTCTGTCTTCTGGGTCTACAGGGTGGGGGAGGTCAGCATTTGCTGAGATGGGGAGGCCGCCTGCCTGAGGAGCCGCTGAGGAATGGGAATCCTGTTGAGTATGAGATGAAGTGAGCCATCCGGATGCGGTTGGATATGTGAGTCTAAAGTTCCTGAATGAGGTCCCGGGTGGGTTTTGCTTTGGTAGTTGTGGGATGGTGGGAAACCACGGAGGGAGGCCTTGAAGAGTGGGTTGGCCGCCCCTTGCAGTGGCCAAACTTCCCGACATCCCAGCCTCCTGCCCTCTGCTGTGGCCATTGTGAGTGGCAGCTCTGCGGGAGGTGAGCAGGTGCACAAATTAAACTTTAACACTAGCCTAGAGCTGTAGCTACGCATGTCAACAAACAACCTAGCCAGAGATTTACGGTGTTAAAAATCTGAAGGGTGATCATTACACACTGCATGGATGTATTGCAATGTTACACTGTGCTCCAAAACTATGTACAGCTACTATGTGTCAATTACAGATTATTTTTCAAAAGAAAAAAAAAAGTGGTTTCCCATAAGACATGTAACTTTGTTTCAATGACTGCAGGTACAAGCAAATTCAGCTTACCCAACCCCTCCTTGGAGTATGCTAACTTTACACCCCCACCCCAGATGACTGGATCATAAGGTGTTTTGCCCCCTCAAAAACCACAGTCACATTAAATGTTATGGGAGTGATTAAAGTCACAGGGTCTGATTGAAAAGTCTGAGTTTCATACAAGTTCCATTTTCCTACGTAGGATGAGATTCTTCTTGCATCAAATTTCTTGTCGGCCTGGGAAAAAGGACCACACAAAACTGCATTAGGCGCCCCCCCCCCCCCCCCCCGGTAGATTCTCCACCACCTGGTCATCCACCAGGGCTCATCAACGTGTTGTGTCATGGTGACCTTTTGTTTATTTCTTTGACTGCCATGTTGAAACTGAGACTTCTTGACAAAAATGGAAATGTGGTTTTTTTCCCGGTATGTAACCCGGGGTACTGTAACCCCGGTATGCAGCACGCAACAGCCACTGACATATGTGGGGACCTAATGATGGACAGGCAGGTCAAGATTTCTCCTAACAGGGTCTCGGCTGTTCCAGGGAGTTCTGCTTGGCTTGGGCTTTCCTGAGGCACCTCCTTGTGTCCCCAAGTGCTGCTGTAACCCAGAGCAGTTCCTGGAGGACAACAGTGGGGAGAATCAAGTCATTGCCTCTACTGAAACCCTGGATGGCACTGGCCCTCCCCGGGGTCTCTGGTTGTGGGCAATGCCTCAGTGCTTGCCTGGCTTGACCCAGGTGTTTTCCAATTCACCTTGTGGAGAAAGAAAGCAAAGGAGTAGGGTCCAGGGGATAGGTCTGCACAGATACTGCACAAGGGTAACACAGCACAGAGCCCAGATGCCAAGAGCCTTCCTCTTAGATAGGTGTTCGCGATCATATCCATGTCCTTGATAGGAGCTGTCGACACTAAGACCTCGAGAGAGGTTCAGGACGAGGGCGGTCTTTGCTCTTCCCCGCCTGCCTTTCTGGTGGCCTTAAGTCTTTGTGGTGGGTAAGGGCAGGCCTAGGTGTGGTCACGGGCTGGGACCCAGGAGTCACCTTCTCTTTGACACAAGGGAATGGACACTGAAGATCCAGGTCTTCATAAGCCCATAGAATCTCAAGGATGGAAGAGTAACCGGAATCGCCTAAGCCCTACCCGCTGCTTGAATTCCTATTGAAATTCAGTCACAAAGTAGACATTTGCCTCTGCTTAAGCCATTCCCTGTGGGTGTCCCTGGGTGGCAGCAAGGAACCAGAGACCACAGAACAGGCACCCTAGCAAGGAAGTCTCAGGTCTTCTGATGACCAACTGCTATGCCTCCTGCAGATGGCCTTATTTGGAATGAAAAAAAACTTCATGAAATGTATGTATCAGCTATCACGGACCCAAATGCACTTTTCCTCTTGGTTTTGTCTCTGTCTCTTATTTGCGTTTGCAAATGACTTGCTAATTGGCTTCTCTGTGTGACACCTTTTGTGGCTCATCACAACTTCCCATCCAACAGGCTCTCTGAAAAGCCCCCAAATCTGGGGGCGACATCCCCCAGGAATGAAGCTAGAGCCCCAGCAAGGTGGGTGGTGCTCACCAGTTCTAACAAATTCCTCCACCCCTCCCTACTCTACACCCTTGTCTTACTTGAAGAGGAAAAGTTTATTTTATTTATTAATTTATTTTTTTTTTTATTTTTATTTTTTGACAGGCAGAGTGGACAGTGAGAGAGAGAGAGACAGAGAGAAAGGTCTTCCTTTGCCATTGGTTCACCCTCCAATAGCCGCCGCGGCCAGCACACCGCGCTGATCTGATGGCAGGAGCCAGGTACTTCTCCTGGTCTCCCATGGGGTGCAGGGCCCAAGTACTCGGGCCATCCTCCACTGCACTCCCGGGCCACAGCAGAGAGCTGGCCTGGAAGAGGGGCAACCGGGACAGAATCCGGTGCCCCGACCAGGACTAGAACCCGGTGTGCCGGCGCCGCAAGGCAGAGGATTAGCCTAGTGAGCCGCGGCGCCGGCCAATTTTATTTATTAATTTATTTTTAAGATTTATTTATTTGCTTGAGAGGCAGAGTAATGGGAGGTGGCGGGGCGGGGGGGAGAGGTCTTCGATCCACTGGTTTACTCCTCAAATGGCTGCAATGGCCGGAGCTGTGCTGATCTGAAGCCAGGAGCCAGGAGCTGCTTCTGGGTCTCCCACACAGGTGCAGGGGCCCAAGGACTTGGGCCGTCTTCCACTGCTTTCCCAGGCCATAGCAGAGAGCTGGATCAGAAGTGGAGCAGCTGGGACTTGAACCAGCACCCATATGGGACGCTGATGCTACAGGCGAAGGCTTAACCTACTGAGCCACAGCGTGAGCCCCAAAAGGCTTATTTTTCTTTTTTCCAAGTTGCTGAGTTTCTTGAATTGCCTGCCCTTTTCTTGGTCTTGCTCTAAAGTGACCTGGGAAGGAAGAGGAGGGAAGGACTGTTATAGTTCTGGTTTGTTCAGGGAGCTTTTTCTGCGAGGGAACAAAAATGCCAAAACCCCAAGAGCGATCCAGCAGTTCCACTCCTAGATATCGGCCCAAAAGAACGGAAAAACAGGTGTTTAGTTTGTGCGCAAATCTTCATAGATACACTATTCAAAAATAATCAAAAGGAGAAGAAACCCACCTGTCCATCAATAAGTGAATGGAGTATATCCTCACAATCGAAAACAAAAGTTTCACATCTCAAATGCCCACATGGCCAGGAACTGGGAACTCAAATCCAGGTCTCCCACATGATGGCAGGCATCCAATTACGTGAGCCATCACTGCTGCCTCCCTGCATCTGCGTTAGCAGGAAGCTGTTGTCAAGAGCCAGAGCTGGGTATCAAACCTATGTACTCCAATGTGGGACTCAGGTATATTGCTTTTTGTTGTTGTTTTAATATTTACTTATTTGAGAGGCAGAGTTACGGAGAGAGACAGAGAGAGAGAGGTCTTCCATCCGCTTGTTTACTCCCCAAATGGCCACAACAACTGGAACTGGGCCAATCTGAATCCAGGAGCCGGGAGCTGCTTCTGGGTCTCCCATGTGGTTGCAGGGGTCCGAACACTTGGGCCATCTTCTGCTGCTTTCCCAGGCTATAGCAGGGAGCTGGATCAGAAGTGGAGCAGCTGAGGCTTAAACCAGTGCCCATATGGGATGCTGGTGCTGCTGGGGGAGGCTTAGCCTGCTGAGCCACAGCGCCTGCCCCAGATATCTTTTAAAATATATATTTATTTTAAAAGTAGGATGACAGAGAGACATAGGGAGAGACAGAAATAGCCTCAATCCACTGGTTCACTCTCCCAAATGGCCAAAACAGTCAGAGCTAGTCCAGGTCGAAGCCAAGAGCCAGGAACTCCATCCTAGTCTCCTTTGTTGGTGGCAGAAATCCAAAACTTTGGCTATCACTCACTGCCTTCCAGGTACAAGAGCAGGAAGTTGGGTTGAAAGCATGGAGTAGCCAGGATGACTCAAACTAGGCATTCTGATATGGAATGCGGACATCCCAAGTGGTGGCTTAACCCACTGCACAACAATGTTTGCTCCAAGGGGCTCGGCGTCTTAGCTTTAGGCCAAATGCCGACCCCATACAACAGGATATTATTCAGCCATAAAAAGAAATGAACTTCTGATACATGCTACAACATGGATCGGCTAAGTAAAAGAAGTCACACAGAAAACCACCTGTTGTATGATTCTGCTAAGCCCAATCCATACTGTCAGAAAGTAGATCAGTTGCCAGGGACTGGGAGGTGGCAACAGAAGGAGAGTGACTCCCAGTGGAGGTGGAGCCTCCTTTTGGGTGGAATGAAATGTTCTGGAACTAGGGGCGGGTGCTATGGCATAGTAGGCTGAGCCTCTGCCTGCGGCGCTGGTATCCCATATGGGCGTCAGTTCATGTCCTGGCTGCTCCACTTCCCATCCAGTTCCCTGCTGTGATGTTCTGGGAAGGCTGCAGAAGATGGCCCAAGTGCTTGGGCCCCCGCACCTGTGAGGGAGACTCCGAAGAAGCTCCTGGCTCCTGGCTTCGGATTGGCTCAGCACTGGCCATTGCAGCCATTTGGGGAGTGAACCAGCAGGTAGAAGATCCCTCTCTGCTTCTCTCTGTGTAACTCTGCCTCTCAAATAAATAAAAATCTAAGGTAGTGTTACCAGAGAATGGCAGGGTTCTTGTCTTCACACAAGAAAGAATTCAGGCGTGAGACAGAGTTGTGGAAAGTAAAAGGTAGCAAAGTTTATTAGGGTAGGGACATCCGCAAGAACAGATGGGCACCTCTCCAGACAGGACCTGAGAGAGAGTGCAGTTGCTCAGACTGGGGGGGCGGGGGAGGGAAGGAGCAAGGTTACATGGTTGAGTGGAGAGATTACACCTGCCCAGGCAGTCGCCAGACTCAGCAGAGAGGCAGAGGGCAGGGTGGGGGGGTGGGGGGTGAGGGAGGGTTAAGGAGATGGGTCTTGCTTCCCCACCTGTGCTCCTCTTGGAACAAAGGGCTTTTTGGATGTAAATAGAAAAACTTCTATTTGAGTTTTCTCCCTGAAGTTATCAGACAGGGGGAAGTCTGGCCCCTTTAGAAGAAAAGCAGGAAGGGCGTTTGAAGTGCAGATACTGGGCTGCACCTGGCAGGTTATCAGGCAGAAGGGGCAGGGACCCCCACCTGGCAGGTTATCAGGTAGGAGGGGGCAGGGCTTTGGGATGACTTTGAGATGCATATGCTGGACATAGACGTCTTCTCTTTAGGCCTTTATGTCACACACACATAAGCTCATATCTGACTTCCTACCTAACAATAGGAAACTAGGTAGCAGTGATGGGTGAACAACATTGTGACCGTACTAAATGGTGAGTTCTGTGTCAGGTGCGTTTGTCTTAGTCCACCGCAGCTACTATCCCAACAACAAAGTGGGTAGTTTTCTAACAACAGAAATTTGTTTCTCAGTCCTGGGGGCTTGCAAAATCCCAGATCAAAGGCATCTGCCTAGCCAGCGCCTCCTGGCCGTGTCCTTGTGCCACCCCCACCCCGCCCCGTGTCTCTTTTTTTTAGGGCACTAACCACATTCATGAGGACTCTGCCTTCATATCCCAAGTAGACACAAACATTGAGACTATAACAGTTTTTCCTAAAAAAAAAAAAAAAAAAAAAAAAAAAAAATTAGCAACAGACCCAGAGGAGGAAGAGGGAAAAGAAGTGAGTTTAATTCCCTCAGCTGTCACCCCCAGAGGTTAATGTTCCAGAAAGTGCTTAGCACACGGTGGGACTTGAGGTGTTAATTGTCTTCTTTCCTATGCAAGTGTATAGCCCTACTTGCCTCCTTGGTTTCTTACAACTTTGTGGTTTGTGACTCCAGTCCTCAGGCCACCTGGGATGTCCCGCCTTGGCTGGTACAGGTCACTGTTGGTCCTGGCCCCGTCACTGGCATCACCTCAGAGCTGAATCACATTCCCTACGAGTTGTTGGGGGAAAGGTGCATGGACATCTGCATTTTTCATAAGTGCCCGGGGTGATGGTCATGCGTATTAAAAATCTGAGACCACTGTGTTAATGTATGTCTTTATCATCTCTTCCAGGAAGTCTGCCCAGACTTCTCCTTTGAGAAGCACGCTAGTACCCAGGTCGCTCCTTCCCTTGTCTAAGGTGCTGAGGGCCTGGATCAGATTCACGCCGGGTTCTGCTGGGTGTGCTGTCTTCACTGGACCGGGGGACCCCTGGGGGCGGATGCCTGCCCCCCCTTTCCTCTTGTCACCCTAAGCACAGATGTTCCTGCTTCCTCCAGAGTGTAAGTTCTCCTAGGATGCTGTAGGAAGTGAGACGCTTTAGTATGAAACTTCTTAAAAATCCTATTTCGTTTACTCCTCCAGATACTTGGGAGAACCCAGCTCCCCTGTTCTCCCGCCGCTCTATTTCTGACTGTTCTAGATGGGATGGGAATTGTATCACCGTGTCACATCAGCCTTTGCTTTTCCAATCCCGTCTTACCCAGGATGCACTAGGTGTGGGTTGGCCCCCACCCCACCCCGACAAGCGACCATGGATCCGGGAGCAGGGTCAGAGTCATCTCTGACAGTCAATGAGCAGGTATCTTCCGGGATGGCAGCGGGCGGAGGGTGGGGGGAGTGATGCACTGAGGGGTGTGGCTAAGGGAGGAAGATCCTGGAGCCCCTCGTGGTTACGTCACCTGTCCAGATGGAGCTTCGAACTAGGATCTAGGGATTTGAGCGGTGACTTTGAAAATGCACAGATAGCGGACAGGTGCTCCGCAGAGTGGTGAAGGTGCCGGTGGGATGCCTGCGTGCCACTTTCCGGGGCCTGAGTTTGCGTCTCAGCTCCAGAGTCCTACTAACACGCACCCTGGGAGGCAACGCTGATGGCTCGTGAAATTGGATGGGAAGTGGAGGCAGGGACTCTATCCCAGGCACTCTAACCTGGAATGTGGGTGTCCCAGGCAGTGGCCCAACCTGCTGTGCCACAACGCATTCCCCCAACACAAAATTTGTTAAGTGTGTAAGTTCACTTGGGGAAAAGTCTGGACATCCAGTGAGTTACTGTTGGCTTTTTTTTTTTCTTCTGTACGGGAACACTTTTAAAAGTTAATGGAGAGCCGGCGCCGTGGCTCAATAGGCTAATCCTCCACCTTGCGGCACCGGCACACCGGGTTCTAGTCCCGGTCGGGGCGCCGGATTCTGTCCCGGTTGCCCCTCTTCCAGGCCAGCTCTCTGCTATGGCCAGGGAGTGCAGTGGAGGATGGCCCAGGTGCTTGGGCCCTGCACCCCATGGGAGACCAGGAAAAGCACCTGGATCCTGGCTCCTGCCATCGGATCAGCGCGGTGCGCCGGCTGCAGCGGCGGCCATTGGAGGGTGAACCAACGGCAAAGGAAGACCTTTCTCTCTCTGTCTCTCTCTCTCACTGTCCACTCTGCCTGTCAAAAAAAAAAAAAAAAAAAAAAAGTTAATGGAAAAAAAAATCAAAAGATGCATTTAAAAATGTATTTATTTATTTGAAACTCAGAGTTACATAAAGAGAGACGTGGGGAGAGAGATCTTCTCTCTGCTGGTTCACGTCCTAGATGGCTACAACAGCCAGGCTGGGCCAGGCTGAAGCCAGGAGCCAGGAACTTCATCCAGGTCTCCCACATGGGTGCAGGGCCCCAAGCACTTGGGCCATCTTTTGCTGCTTTTCCAAGCACATTAGCAGGGAGCTGGATCAGAAGTGGAGCAGCCAGGACTAAAACTGGCATCCATATGGGATGCTGGTGCCATACTTAATCTGCTGTGCCACAATGCTGGCCCTGATGCATTTATTTTAATACAAAAAAAATTTCAAGTCTATGCTTAGTTTTTTTTTTTAATGATTGCATTTCTGTGAACTATTTGAAGTTCCTAAGTATTTTCTAATTTTTCTACAATGACTTCTTTAAAAAAAGATTTCTTGTTTGTTTATTTGAAAAGCAGAGTGACGGAGAGGAAAAGATACACAGGGAGAGAGATCTTCCATCCAGTAGCTCACTCCCCAAATGCTCATAACCATGGGAGATGAGCCAGGCCGGAGCCCAAAGTCTACCCAAGGTCTTGGGCCATCATCCTCTGTCTCCTGAGTACATTAGCAGGAAGCTGGATGGGAAGAGGCGAGACTCTTTGTCGTCCCCTCCTGCCTGTCCCCAGACCTGCTTTTTTTTTTTTTTTAAGATTTATTTATTTATTTGAAAGTCAGAGTTATGCAGAGAGAAGGAGAGGCAGAGAGAGAGAGAGAGAGAGAGAGAGAGAGAGAGATGTCTTCCAACCGCTAGTTCACTCCCCAATTGACCGCAACGGCCAGAGCTGCGCCAATCTGAAGCCAGGAACCAGGAGCTTCCTCCAGGTCTCCCACACGGGTGCAGGGGCCCAAGGACTTGGGCCATCTTCCACTGCTTTCCCAGGCCATAGCAGGGAGCTGGATTGGAATTGGAGCAGCCAGGACTCGAACCGGCGCCCATATGGAATGCTGGCACTGCAGGCAGGGCTTTACCCGCTGCGCCACAGCGCTGGCCCCAAGACCTGCTTCTGTCTAGTAGCTCTGATTGTGACTCAGGAGCAGCCGCCTGCCACAGGTTCTGGAATTCTCTCAGCGCATACATCCCCTGGACAGAAGGTCCTCATCTTGAAGTGCCCTCACCTCGGGCCCCTGACCACTCCCAGAACTCCGGCCCCAGGAGCTGTGCCACCCCCCGTCCCACCCAACCTCCCCACCCCGCCCTGAGCCCCAGCAGTGTCCCTTGCCCTCTTCTTGCAGGTCATCGTGATGTCAGGCCATGAGACCATTCGAGTGCTGGAAGTCGGAGTGGACGCCCAGCTCCCTGCTGAGGAGGAGGGCAAAGGCCTGGAGGCTGTGACTGCTGAGGGCTCCCTCCGTGGGGACCCGGCTGAAGCCAGTGAGCCTGCTGGTGAAGCTGGGCCAGACAAGCCAGAGGCCCCTGCAGAGGCAACTGGTAGGAGGCCATTGCTCCCATCTGGGGTTGCTCCAGCCAAGTCCCTTCTCTGGCCCTCTGGCGAGCCAGCATGCAGCCTGGGCCCTCTGTGCCCACCACACAGCTGTACCTCCTGTCTGCCGTCTGTACTTCCTCGTGCTTGGAACTCCCGTTCTTCCAGACCTAATCTAGGGCAATGCGGGTGAGGTAGGCAGAGACTGGCAGACAGATCAGCTTAGGCGGCTGAATCAGCTACAAAGGCTCCTTTGCCCAGACCCAGACCCTAGGCGCAGGCAGAGAGCTGGGCCTGCTGTTGGTCAGGAGCTGAGGATGAGGTCAAGTTCCCTACCCAGAGCTGGGTGACGAGTAGGTAGGATTCTACAGCATCCTGCCCCATCCTCCTAGCAGGTGTACACCTGCTGTCCTCCAAAGGTGACCTTTGGGCGAGAGGTGGCTGAGCTATGGTGTCCTGCACTGCCCTCTGGTCATTGACTAGTTCAGTAACACCTTGCAGAGTGAACCATACCTTTTTTTAATTAATTTATTTGAAAGAGTTACACACCGAGAGAAAGAGAGCGAGAGAGGTCTTCCCTCTGCTGGTTTACTTCCCAGTTGGCCGCAACAGCCAGAACTGCACCGATCCGAAGCCAGGAGCCAGGAGCTTCTTCCAGGTCTCTCACGAAGGTGCAGGGGCGCAAGGCCTTGGGCCATTTTCTGCTTTCCCAGGCCATAGCAGAGAGCTGGATTGGAAGTGGAGCAGCTAGAACTTGAACCGGTGCCCATATCGGATGCTGGCACTGCAGGCGGCGGCCTTACCCACTACGCCACAGTGGCGGCCTCAAGCCATGCCTTTTACTGGATGCCTTGGGCCTTCTTTGCCAATCCCCACTCTAGGACACCAGGATTTTTCTCCCCTTGCCCTCTGCTGCAATCCACCCCTTCCCTAGGCCTGGGCTGGCCCGGCTGGGCCAAGATGACGGACCAGGAAGACAGCAAAGGACAACAGACTTCAGAGAGCCAGCAGCTCCTTAACATGAAAAGTGGGTGACCTCACATTGCTTGCTCTTTCTGCAAATCAGTGGCCAGGTTCCTGGAGAGCCCAGCTGTTTCCTCCCCGCTTGAATAAATTCGTGAGGAGACCCAGGCCCATTTCTCCGTAACCTAGCCATGCTCTGCTTCTGTGTTGAGGCCAGGCTGGGGCACCTGCTTCCCAGGGCTGTTGCTACTGTTTCCATTCAGTGCAGCCATCCTGGGGTGAAGCCTTTGTTCCCAGACAATTCAGGAGGCTTCTCAGGTTAATGCCTGGTACCCTAACTCCCCTTTCCACCCCTTGGTCCACCTTCCATCTCTCACTTCTGGAGGCTTCATTCTATGCCTCATCTAAATGTGTTCTCGGAAACGGATCCTAAAGCAATTGTTTGTACCTTGAGTGTTTATGGTAATGGGCGCAGCCTTGTATATGTAAGCCCTTCACCAAAGGGATCTTCTGTAAAGGGATTTTGGTTATTCAGCAGCTAAGGGAGGTATTTTGAGGGTGCCACCGCCTAGGAAGCTGCCGGCAGAGACTAAAGGAAGATTTCTGGGTATGCAATATTAAGAGGGACTTCCTCTTATGAAAGCTAAGCTAAGCTAAGCTAGATGATGGGAAACTTTTTCAGGGGAAAAAAATAATAATCCAGTGATTGGTGTCTTTCTAAATGGCCATCCAGTCCCACCTCCGTATTCCTAAGACGTGACCACCAAAGGGAGATTATGTTGTACGGCACTTAACCACCAACTGCTTCATATGCATTTCCTTTATTGACATAGATTTAAACTGCGTCTGGTTTGGGCCATTGTCAAATTGTCTGGTTTTTCCTTCTTATCAATAGTGCTGCTTTTAAGGCCTTTGTATTGGGCCTTTAGCCTTTTTTTTTTTTTTTTTTTTTGGTGGGGTGGTCCACTGTCTTTCCTTTTGAAGAGCAATTCATTATTAACATAGGAGGCAATTATCACATGGAAAAATACAAAATCTTATTATCAATGAGCAGGAAAAGAACTGACTTCAAAATTGGGTGGTTCTCTCTCTCTCCTCTCCTTTCCTCCTTCCTCTCTACCTCTGTCACATTTACTTTCTCTAATAAAAAGTCTACTGAAGACCGATAAAAAAAAAAAAATGGGTGATGCCGTGGACAGCAGGTGTATTATTGATGGCTCTAGGAGTTGTTTCAGAATTTCTGCAAAGCAGTCTTGCAGGAAGAGACCACAAAACCCTCCATGGATGTAAACCCCAGGACCCCATGGCCCTCTATGGGAATATCCCTCCATACAATGAGCATTTCATTTCTTTATTTTTTAAAGATGCATTTATTTATTTGAAAGTCAGAACTACAGAGAGAGAGAGGAGAGGCAGAGAGAGAGAGAGAGGTTTTCCATCCTCTGGTTCACTCCCCAGTTGGCCGCAATGGCCGTAGCTGTGCTGATCCGAAGCCAGGAGCCAGGAGCTTCTTTCGGGTCTCCCACGAGGGTGCAGGGGCCCAAGGACTTGGGCCATCTTGTACTGCTTTCCCAGGCCATAGCAGAGAGCTGGGTCAGAAGTGGAGCAGCTGGGTCTTGAACCAGCGCCCATATGGGATGCCGGCACTGCAGGCGGTGGCTTTACCCACTACGCCAAAGCACTGGCCCCTCATTCTTTAGAAGGTAAGCTTTTATCACTCAGCTTTGCCACATCCCCATTTTCACATTTTCCTTTTTTGCATTTTATTACTTCTTGTGCAAGAAAATGGTTTTTCAGTTTTCCTATGCTAGTTATCCTAACCTTCTCTGAAATTTTTTTTCAGAGTTGGAAAAATATCTTCTGGGCATGGGGTTGTAGCATAGTGGGTAAAGCTGCCATCTGTGACACTGGCCTCTCACATGGGTACTGGTTTGTATCCTGGCTGCTTTCAGTCTGGCTCCCTGCTAATGGCTTGGGAAGAGCAGCAGAAGATGGCCATAGTGCTCGGGCCCCTGCACCTACGTGGGGGACCTGGAGGATGCTCCTGGCTCCTGGCTCCTGGCTTTGGCCTGGTCCAGCTCCGGCCGTTGGAGCCATCTGGGGAGTGACCCAGCAGATGGAAGACCTCTCTCTCTCTCTGTCTCTCCTTCTCTCTCTGTAACTCTGACTTTAAAATAAATACATCTCTTTTTTTTTTTTAAATAAGTCTCTTCCCTCCACAGAGGAGATAAATGTTCCATTTCATTTTTTTCCTACTATTTTATAAGAGCTTTGTTGTTGCACAGCTCCTAAATTCCTTAGCCTTGTAGATTTTACTATATGCTGTGACTGATTCTTCCCAAGATAGGTCAATACTTTTCCAAACATTTTTTAAAAAGATTTATATATTTGTTTGAAAGGCAGTACAACAGAGAGGGACAATTAGAGGGACAGCGTCCATCCTCTGGTTCACTCCCCAAGTGGCTGTGATGGCTGGGGCTGGGCCAGGCGGAAGCCAGGATGCCAGCACTCCATCCGAGCCTCCTACATGGGTGGCTGGGACCCAAACACTTGGGCCATTTTCTGTTGCTTTTCCCAGGCACATTAGCAGAGAGCTGGATGGGAAATGGAGCAGCCAGGACACGAACCCATGCTCCAATATGGGATGTCAGTGTCACAAGTGGTCCACAATGCTGGCCCCTTCCTAAATTAAAATGTGGGCTGGGATTGGCCACAAAGACTGGGGCAGGGCCAGCCTGAAGCCAGGAGACTGGAACTCCATCTAGAGCTCCTACATGGGGGCAGGGGCCCAAGTACTTGGCCCATATTCCACTGTTTTCCCAGGCACATTACCAGGGAGCTAGAGTGGAAGTGGAGCATTTGGGACTCAAACCAGTGTTCCTATGGGCTGCTAATGTCACCGGCAGCAGCTTAATGCACTGTACCACCATGCCAGCCCCTGCCTGTGCTTTTTAAAAGATTTCTTTATTTGAAAGAGTTACACAGAGATAGGAGAGGCAGAGAAAGGTCTTCTGTCATCTGCTGGTTCACTCCCCAATTGGCCACAATGGCCGGAGCTGCGCTGATCTGAAGCTGGGAGCCAGGAGCTTCTTCCAGGTCTCCCATGTGGGTGCAGGGGCCCAAGGACTTGGGCCATCCTCTACTGCTTTTCTAGGCCACAGCAGAGAGCTGGATCAGAAGTGGAGCAGCTGGGACTTGAACCGGCGCCCATATGGGATGGCATCCGCTAAGCCACAGTGCGGGCCCCTCCAACCCCTTCCTATGTTTTAGGGTTGCTGATTCACTGGTTCCCACTTTACACAAGGGGATCTTAAAGACAAAAGGGATAGGAGAGGTTCTTGACCTCCTGTCCTGACATTATGGTCCCGTAGGCCTCTCTCAGAGCTTGGCAGTATGTGCCCAGCCTGTATTAAGTGGCCACTGACCTGATCCAACATCATCAGCCAATGTATGTACTCCTTGAGAAGGGTGGTTGGTTCCTTGGTGGTGAGAGTATGTACTGCTTGTCTCACCACCAAGGAACCAACCACCCTTCTCATTGCTGCGTGGCTGTGATGAGGCCCCCTACTGCCAACGATGGGTTTTTGGGTTCTGCAGAAATGTGGGCCGAGAGTTGCCACTCAGGCATCCTACTCACTCCTTTTCCTTTCTCTCAATGCCACGTGAAGCCAAGTCGCTCCCGGGGATCCCTCCGAGCCCTGCCCCTGCCATTGCCACCTTCAGCCAAGCCCCAAGCCAGCCTCAGGCGGCATCTCAGACCCTGACGCCACTGGCCGTACAAGCTGCCCCCCAGGTAAGGGCCGCCTGGAGAGCTGGACAGAGGGCAGTGGGCAGGAGCAATGCATGGGCGTGGCCGTGGGGATCTGGCAAGTGCAGGAGGTGGGACAAAGGAGGGCAGCTCCTACTAGGCCCCCCGGCTTCTCCCTGCCCCAGACCAGGCCCATTTGGGAAAGCGGATCTGCGTTTGCCGGGCAGTCTCCGAGGGTCCAGTGAGCACTGTAGCAATTGCTTTCACTCTTGGATGCTGCCAGAGTTTCTGTTCATCTGATGGCAAAATGAGCGGATGCCCTTGTCAACCCGGGCAGCGCGGCAAAGGGAGCATGCGCAGTGCCTGGGGACATTTGCTACACACGTCCAGTGCGGGCACCCTGTCCTGTGCGGACAACCCAGGCTGTCCTCCATCAGGGCTTCCCAGCTGCTCTGTGGCCCCTTGACCACTGGGCTGGGCCAGCTCTGCGCCTGCTCCCTGGCCACAGGGCGCTGTCCCCTGAGCAGGGGCCTGGGAAAGACTGGGGAGGCAGCAGACTGGTGGGTCCGGCCTGTGTGCCCCTTCCTGTCCTGTGGGGGAGGTTTGGGCCACTTCCTGGCAGGCAGGGTAGTCTGGTCCAGGTCCCCTCCATCTCCCCACCCCCCGACCCATGCCTGACCTTTCTCCCACTGCCCTCAGAATGCTTTGATTGTGCTCAACTGGGTCCGAGAGACCCAGTGTTTGCGCTGTCGATGTTGATTTTGTATTTTATTTTTTTTTCTTTTCTTTTTGAAATCTTGTTTGCTTTTGCAGGTCTTGACTCAGGAAAACTTAGCCACAGTTCTGACAGGAGTTATGGTTCCAGCAGGGGCAGTTACTCAACCTCTTCTTATCCCCATCAGTATTGCAGGTCAAGTGGCCGGTCAGCAGGGGCTGGCCGTGTGGACAATTCCTACAGCAACCGTGGCTGCCCTCCCTGGACTGGCCGCTGCTTCTCCCACAGGGGCAGTTTTCAAGCCACCATTAGCCGGTCTCCAAGGTAACGGCCACTCTCCCAGGACTGCACCAGGCCCCTACCACCCTACACCACCACCACCACCACCACCACCACCACCACCACCACCCCGCACATGTGTTGGCCATGTCGGACTCAGAACCCGCCGCCCTCCCCCGGGGGCCGCAGCCCTGGAGTCTGGATCCGGCCGCAGAGCTGCCGCACCGCCTTGGGACTGTGGGCCATGACCCGTGCTGGGCCAGCGAGGCCTTTCTCACTTCGCTCAACTGAATGAGACTGCCCCCACCCACCCACCCCACCCCACGCCACGCCACGCCACGCCATGCCACGCCAGCATTCACCCTGTGAGCTGCTTCCTGAAATGGACCACGAGAAGATTCCACGTCGGGGTCTTGAGCCTGCACATCTCCTGGCCCCGGGGTGGGGGGGATGAGAGATGTTGGCGTGTGCCAACCTTCAAGGATCAAGGGAATCATGGCTGCAGCTGCCGGGCCCCCCATGCCCACTGCCCCGACACCACCCCACCCTGTTGTTCTCGTGCAGATCCTTTGGGATTGGAGCCGCTCTGGGCCGTGGCTAGGCACTTGAGCACCTGTGTCTCTTGCCTTGCTCCGTAGCGGCTGCTGTGCTCACGAACACTGCTCTCCCGGCACCTGTACAAGCGGCCCCACCGGTACAGACCTCCTCACTGGCCCAGCCGCGGCCACCAGCCCAGCCCCAGACGCTGTTCCAGACCCAGCCACTGCTGCAGACCGCACCCGCCATCCTACCGCAACCCACCGCCGCCGCCACTGCTGCTGCCCCCACCCCCAAGCCAGTGGACACCCCTCCCCAGATTACCGTCCAGCCTGCAGGCTTCGCATTTAGCCCGGGAATCGTAAGCTGCTGCCCTCTCCCACGGCTGACCAGGGATGGACCAAATCAATCTTGGGCTAAGGGTGGAGGACCAGCCCCCGAGTGCCACCCTTTTCCGACACATCGGCAGAGATGGGCTCCCTCTGAGGTCTTCTTTGCAACTGTCAGCCTGTCCGGCCTGGACAAAAAGCAGACCACCTCTGCCAAGAGGGCTGGGAGAATCCTCCAGAGCCTGAACCGCTGGACCAGTCATGGAGGGTGGGATGATGTGTACAGAGCCATCACTAAGGTGCAGCCAGAGGCTCACAGCTACCTGCCAGTGTCTCTGCAGAGTGGCTGCTGGTCCGGCTGTGGGAGGTTAGAGGTGACTAGGAGGACGTCAGCCTCTCCAGTCTGGCCCTTCTACCCTCCCAGGCCTGGCCTGAAAGCTTACCCAGAGTTGCTGTCCCATGACCGTGGCCCTGCCCATCCCCACAACCCCCTGCAGCCCATAACCTTGGATAGTACGGTTCAGCTGGTGGACATGGGCCTCCAGCCCACATTCATGTCTGCCCACCCCCGTGTCCTTGACCCTCTCCCTTGTGCCCGGCTCTCTCCCTTGCCCCATGGCCTCTGAGCAAGGCCCTTCCTCTGCCCACAGATCAGTGCTGCTTCCCTCGGGGGACAGACACAGATTCTGGGCTCCCTCACCACGACTCCGGTCATTACCAACGCCATTCCCAGCATGCCCGGGATCAGCAGTCAGATCCTCACCAATGCTCAGGGACAGGCAAGTGGCCAAAGGCAGAGCAGAGTGGTGGGAAGTGTGGGGTGGCTGGCCAGGAGGAGGGGGCTGGGATTTGGGTTGAGAGACTGAGACACTGGTGCCAGGCTACTGTTCCTAGCACCCCCGCCCCATGTAGAACACACACCCTGCCCCAGGGGTGCTCTCTCTAGTGGGGGAGGGACAGTTGGAAAATGCAGCACCCACTCTGTAGCCAGGCATCGGGCTAGGTGGAGGGTGTTTTTTTTTTTTTTTCTTTTTTTCTCCCACTCCCTATTTATAGGACAGAAAGCTGAGGTACGGAAAAAGTAAGCCACACAGCTAAAATGTGGCAGAGCAGCGAGCCACATCCAAGTGTCTCTGAGTTGCATCCAGAGCTCCCCCTGCTCTGGGGAATAAAATAAAGGAAAAAGTGTGAATTGAGCAGAGGTCAGGGGATGAGCGACTTCTCCAAGTTAGTCTTTTCCCCTGCCAGTGTGGGGATTTGGGTTGGCGGTGGAGCAGGACACTCCCATGATACCTGGGGTGTCTGTCTTATTCCCTCCCAGGTCATTGGAACGCTTCCATGGGTAGTGAACTCAGCTAGCGTGGCGGCCCCAGCACCAGCACAAAGCCTGCAGGTCCAGGCCGTGACACCCCAGTTGTTGTTGAACGCCCAAGGCCAGGTGATTGCAACCCTGGCCAGCAGCCCCCTGCCTCCGCCCGTGGCTGTCCGGAAACCAAGCACGCCTGAGTCCCCTGCTAAGAGTGAGGTACCGGGGTTGGGGCTGGGGCTGGGGCTGGGGCTGTGGGGCAGCCATTGCTGTTGTTCCACTCCAGACTGCCAGGCAGTGCCGCCTGTGGAACTCTGGAGAGAGAGGAGTGCTCCCAGAGTAGAAGGCCCACAGGGATGCACACATGCCCTGCTCAAGAAAACAGCACCCCAGGCCCCTGCCCACACACACCACAACATGTACCTGTGCCCTCAGGTACACTGGGCCTGGGTCAGTGCTGGGAGGTTAGTTCTGTGCCTCTCCATCTCTTCCCCCTTTCGCCTCTACACTACTCCTCTATGGCTTTGGCTAGTTATTTAGTCATTCAAGATTTTTTCTTTCTTCTTCTTCTTCTTCTTCTCCTCTGGCTTTGGCTAGTTATTTATTCATTCAAGATTTTTCTTTCTTCTTCTTTTTTTTTTTTTTTTTTGAGACACAGGACAGAGAGAGAGAGAGAGAGGTCCCATCCACTGGTTCACCCCCCGAATGCCTGCAATGGCCAGGACTGGGCTGGAGCTGAAGTAGAAGCAGAAACAAAGGCTAGAAACGCAATCCAGGTCTCCCATGTGGGTGTCAGGAATCCAATTACCTGAGGCACTGCCATTGCCTCCCAGGATCTGCATTAGAGGGAAGCTAGAGTGAGGAGCTGGAGCCAGCAGCCAAACCCAGGCACTCCAATGTGGGATGTGTATATTTAATTGGTGTCTTAATCACTAGGCCAAATGCCTGCCCTTGTAATTATTTATTTATTTATTTATTTATTTGAAAGTCAGAATTACACAGAGATAGGAGAGACAGAGACAGAGAGACAGAGACAGAGAGAGAGGTCTTCCATCCGCTGGTTCACCAATTGGCTGCAATGGTTGGAGCTGCGCTGATCCAAAGCCAGGAGCCTGGAGCTTCCTCTGGGTCTCCCACACAGGTGCAGGGATCCAAGGACTTGGGCCATCTTCTACTGTTTTCCCAGGCCATAGCAGAGAGCTGGATCAGAAGTGGAGCAGCTGGGACTTGAACCAGTGCCCACCTGGGATGCCAGCATTGCGGGTGGCATCTTTACCTGCTACACCACAGAGCAAGCCCCACCTTGGAATTTTTTGAGGGGCAATTATATCCCAGGTGCAGAAGACACAGAGATAAGATGCCCGGAGTACCCTAAGGCCCAGCGTGGGTGACAATTACAAGTCACATGACAAAGTCTATGGTAGGGGACTAATAAGGTACTCAAGGACCCCACAGAAGGAAGCTCTTGACAGAGTAGGGGTTTTGGCTTCATAGAGAAGGCACTGGAACTCATCTAAAAAGGCGAGTTGGATGTTCTACCTTTGGGAAACCACAGCAAGTACCAAGCGCTGGAGCCGTGGTTCTCAAACTTGAACATCAGAATCACCTGGTCCTGGGCCTGTCTCCGAGTTTCTTATTCAGCAGGTGTGGGGTGGGGCCCAGGAATGTGCACTTGTAACTTCCTAGGTGATGTTGAAGCTGGGTTTGTTTTAGGAATGCTACACCTACGTGATGACAACTCTGGTGCACAAAACATCCTTCCTAACGGTAGCTCCTATTGCTGTTACTACCCCAACGTACTGGGGAGCCACCAGAGTGTTTCAGCAAGGAAGCAGCTGATCAAAAATGCATCAAAAAACAAACAAACAAACAAATAAAATTAATTCCTCTGTTATCTGGGTGAAGCCAAGAACTGGACCATGATGAGAGACTTGACCCCTGGTCACTTGTCAGGAGATAGTTTGGACAGTGCTAGCAAGAGACAGGGTGCTGTGGACCCAGGAAAAGGCCTGGGAATGAAGACAGACGAGAGAGGACCCAGGCAGCAAGGCCATCCGGGAGAAACCTGCAGTCCCTGGGAAGCTTTTCCTAAAAAAAAAAAAAAAAAAAAAAAATTGCTAAAAACACTTGTTTCATATATCCGTACTTTTTCCTGATTATAGATACAGGATTTGATTTGCATGATTCTTATAAACAGCCCGGCATTCCTTATAATGGAAGAAGTAAGAGGTAGGCGTTTTAGCCCAGTGGTTGAGACACTTGTTAAGATGCTCCATCCCACATAGAACGAGCCTGATGCCTTAGTTATCTGTGGCTCCTGACTCCAGCTTCCTGCTAATGCAGATCCTGGGAGGTAGCGATGGTAGCTCAAGTAAAGAGGTTCCTGCCACCCCTGTGGGATGTCTGGGCTTTGGCTTGGCTCAGGCTGTTGTGCATTGGAGAGTGAACCAGTGAATGGGAGCTCTCACTGTCTGTCTCTATATATCTGCCTCTCAAAACAAAACAAAACAAAACAAAACGAAGTAAAACCTCTTCTAATTTCACTTCCAGAGATGACTTTAAGTTAGTAGCTTGTTTCATAGGCTTCAAGATTATTTTTTCTGGAAATTTCAATGAATTTCTTAAAGGCATTCTTCCATAGAAAAAATGGTTTGTTGTTTTTAAAATATTTATTTATTTATTTGAAAGTTAGAGTTATACAGAGAGAGGAAGAGAAAGGAGGGTGGTGAGGGAGAGAAAGAGAGATTTTCCATCTGCTGGTTCACTCCCTAGATGGCTGTACTGGCTGGGGCTGTGCTAGGCCAAAGTCAGGAGCCAAGAGCTACTTCGGAATTTCCTGCATGGGTGGCAGGGACCCAAACACTTGGGCCATCTTCCACTGCTTTTCCCAGGCCATTAGCAGGGAACTGGATCGGAAGTGGAACAGCCGAGATTCAAACCAAGGCCCATGCAGGATGCGGGTGTCACAGGTGCTAGCTTAACTTGCTATGCCCAGCCCCAGAAAATGGTTTTCACACCTCATTTTTTCCCCTTGGCACTATGAGTTAGAGGGCAGAGTAGTTAAGAGAGACACTATTATTTGTAATGGCTGCATAGTATGTCACTATAGGTAGGTGCCAGCATTACCTACCAGTTCCCTGCTCATGGGTCTTTGGGTCCAGGAGGCTCCCGAATCAAGACTAGATTTCTCTGTTGAGGGCAGGGGGTTGAGAGCAGTTTCCCAAGGGTGGGCTCTTGCTAGCACTTTGACCAAGCATGCTGAACCTATCTGAGTCTCTTGCCTGCCTTCATCACAGGAAGCTGTGGGGCCCCAGCTTGGTGGAAACTCTTAGGTGTCATTATCATGGGGCAGGTATTAATAAGCAACTTGTCATTTGACAGGGCACAGGTGGGACTGTGCTGGGTGAGAGAGGGCTTTGTGTCCCTCTCTGCCCTGCTGTTGTCTGCCCAGGGCTTCCAACCCCCTGAGCTGGGCAGGACTTGTCCCTTCTCAGGTGCAACCCATCCAGCCCACACCTGCTGCGCCCCCGCCTGCCGTGGTCATTGCCAGCCCAGCCCCGGCCGTCAAACCATCCGCCTCTGCTCCCATCCCGATTACCTGCTCAGAGACTCCCACGGTCAGCCAGTTGGTGTCCAGTAAGTGGCTCTTGGGGGGAGGAGTGTGGGGTAGCCGGGAGGTAGGTAGTTGGGGGCCCCCAACCTCTTCAGATGCTGCTTTTTCCATAGTAAACTTCCTGGAGCCCAGCGGGGAAGGGCAGAGGCCCGATGCACGGGCCGGCTTTCTTAGCCTCGTTCTTGTTCAGCTGCATTCTAGGCATGCTGCCGGTGGAGGCTGCCTTGCCAGCTGTCCAGCTGCTTCTCTGAGAGGCTAAGCCATTGGCTGCCTTTGCTGTGCTCACTCACCCAGTATCTGAGGAATGTGCATGGCCAGCAGGTGTAGTGAGAACTGGGGCAGGTGAGCAGTAAGAGCTGGAAGAACTTGAAAGTAGACCCTTGCTCCTGAATAGGTTGGTCCAGGCCCCTTGTCCCCCAGGTCTTGCTTGGGGGCAGGGATGATGAGGATTCACGAGCCTTTTGCTGGATGTTCTCATGCCTCACTGCTGCACCAGTCCAGACCAGTGGGCCAGAAAAGCAGTAATGATGCCTGTCTTTCATACTCATCTCTGGTCCCTCCATCTTACATACTCATCCCTGGTCCCACCATCTTACATACTCACCTCTGGTCCAGCCATCTTACATACTCATCCCTGGTCCCTCCATCTTACATACTCACCCCTGGTCTAGCCATCTTACATACTCATCCCTGGTCCCTCCCTCTGGTCCAGAGCCACATACTCCAAGTCTGGATGAGGATGGCATCAACTTAGAAGAGATCCGTGAGTTTGCCAAGAACTTTAAGATCCGGCGGCTGTCCCTGGGCCTTACCCAGACCCAGGTGGGCCAGGCTCTGACTGCAACGGAAGGTCCTGCCTACAGCCAGTCAGCTATCTGCCGGTGAGTAAGACTGTCCTGGACAAGATGGGGGTCTGCTCAGTGCCTGGGGCCATCAGGACATGTGGTGACTGGGATCCAGGCTCTCCACATTGGGAAGGTAACACCTGGAGTAGCTGAAGCCCAGCCGAGGCCTTCTGGGGCCTTTTGAAATGTGCTCTGCAATCCTGAGTATTCCTGTGGTCTTCTTTGGGGGAACCAAGGCCCTAATCCATCCAGGAATCCTAGTGAGAAAGAGCAGAGCTTATAAAATTGGTCACAAAAGTGGGAACTTCCATTCTGTTTTGGTCTCCATTACAGTGCACTGTAGGCTGTCAGGCTCCCATCTCTCTCCTCTGTCCGAAGTATGACCATAAAATAGCAGAACTGCTTTTGCTGTGTGCAGGGTCATGCTACCCCAAAGGAGGGGTAGCAGTGGGTTTCAGAACAGGATGGTTTCTCCTGTCTGCCAACCCCACAGATGAGAGCCTTAGACCAGAGCAGCCATTAGCCTGACCACAGGGCCGTGGTGGTTCAACCACAAAGAGTGGCCTGTCTTGGTAGTGACACCACCAGGAAGAAGCAGTTGGAGAGGAATGGCACTCAAAGGATTTCACTCACTTGGTTTAGAAAGTTCTGGAATGGTTGTTCATAGGCAGCTGTGTTATCATTGTCATGCTGTGGCCTGAGCCGGGACCACGGGAACAATCAGGCTGTTAGGATCTGGGGTTCTGGGGAGTCTGTGTGTAGGGGCTCTGGGAAAGGGAGGGAGAGGACCCCCCCCCCCCCCCGCATAGGAACAGTGCCCTCTCACAGCCCCGGCCCCGGGTGTGGGTGGCCCGCAGGTTTGAGAAGCTGGACATCACGCCCAAGAGCGCCCAGAAGCTGAAACCCGTGCTGGAGCGGTGGCTGAACGAGGCCGAGCTGCGGAACCAGGAAGGCCAGCAGAACCTGATGGAGTTCGTGGGAGGTGAGCCCTCCAAGAAACGCAAGCGCCGTACATCCTTCACGCCCCAGGCCATAGAGGCGCTCAACGCCTACTTCGAGAAGAACCCGCTGCCCACAGGCCAGGAGATCACCGAGATCGCCAAGGAGCTCAACTATGACCGCGAGGTCGTGCGGGTCTGGTTCTGCAACCGGCGCCAGACGCTCAAGAACACCAGCAAACTGAACGTCTTTCAGATCCCCTAGGGCTCGGGCCCAGCAGCCCTGTGATGCAGCACTTTCTACCCTCCCCTTGGCGCCTGGCTGCAGCCGCGGCTGTCACTGCACCTGTCGTTTCACCATGCGCAGCCCTGGCTTCGCGACTCCGCTCTGTGCATGCGCGTCCCCCATGGCTCCCTCTTCCCTTCCCTGCACCCCGCATATCCACGGCTGGGGGTCTGGGGTCGGAGGGTGGAGTCGGGGAAGGGGAGGGGCCGAGGGAGCTCCAGGCCCTTGCTTGGGCACGCTGAACCGGGGACTTGGTGGTGTCGCTTAGAGAAGCACTTTGCTAACGTGGTTCCTGAAGGATGCATTTTGGTTGGGAACCAGAAACTCCCGGTGTGTGGGCCCGGCTGTGGCTGTTCCCGACCGCAGGCCGCGAACTCTTATTTTCTATGTCATTCTCTTTCTACCCTGTCTTCTCCTTTGTTCCTGTATGTTGGTGTGGCAGATGTGACAGCCCTGCCGGTGGACCCGCCACAGCCTCAAACTCCCTACCCCCACCTTTGCCTGTAGACACATTGCCCCTCCCCCAGCCAAAAGGACCCAGGAGATCAAATTCAAACAAGTGTGATATGCCGCTCAGAAGTCAGGCTCGATGTTTGCCTTGACCTTGGGGTCAGAAGGTTCCCACGGCCCTGGAGCTCCTCTCCCACCTCTCCCTAGTTCCTTTGGGGGGTTGCACTAAAGCAGACAGCCCCCTCCCCTTTTTTCTTTTGCAATTCATTTTTGAGGAAAGCAGCAGTGATCTCAAACTGCCCTGGGGTTGTCCGGTGTGTGCAGCATGTGGGGAATTTGGTGGACAAGGCCTTCTGGCCAGATTTTAATCTAATCTCTATCCATAGCTATTCCCCACCCCCACAAAGAGTGTGGGTTCAGAGAATTTGAAATCTAGACCGTCCCACTGCCCCAGCAAGCAGGCAATTCTGGAGAAAAATGAGGGAAAGAATGCTGGCTTTCTCTCTCGTCGCCACACCCAGCCCCAACCCAGCACCGGGGCTTCTCAAAAGGAGCAAATTCGTGAATGAAGCCGACAGCCATGCCCTTGGGTAAGCATAGCAGCTAGAGAGAGCCGGTGGCAGCCAGGGAAGGTCTCCTGTGCAGGTCTACTTAACTCTAGTTTTCTCTGTAGCTTTAAGTTTGAGTGTTGGAGGAGAAATCTCATTTTTTTGTCCAGAGTCTGATTCTGTGTCTGTGTAAGAAATCTCCCCCAAGGCCGGCGCCACGGCACAATAGGCTAATCCTCCGCCTGCGGCGCCGGCGCACCGGGTTCTAGTCCCGGTTGTGGCGCCGGATTCTGTCCCGGTTGCCCCTCTTCCAGGCCAGCTCTCTGCTATGGCCAGGGAGTGCAGTGGAGGATGGCCCAAGTGCTTGGGCCCTGCACCTGCATGGGAGACCAGGAGAAGACCTGGCTCCTGGCTTCGGATCAGCGCGATGCGCCTTCTTCAGTGCACCGGCCGCGGCGGCCATTGGAGGGCGAACCAACGGCAAAAGGAAGACCTTTCTCGCTCGCTCTCTCACTGTCCACTCTGCCTGTCAAAAAAGAAAAGGAAGGAAAAGAAAGAAATCTCCCCCAGTGCTCCTTCTGAGTCCAGCACACGCCCAGGTCAGGATGGGAGTTGCCTCCAGAGAGGGTCGCTGTGGCTCATTCGGGGTTGGACCACCTCTGCCACAGGTGCCCCGTGCAGAGCTGCCTCTTAGCTAAGCTCCCCCTGGGGTGCTGTTTCTGTGTCTGCTTGCTGCGGGTCCCACCCAGGCCCTGCGATGCTAGCGTGCCCCCCATCCTGGCAGCCCTGCCAGTGAGATGTCTCTCTCTCCCTCTCTCTCTTTCACACACACATATGCATGCACACGCACGCCCCACTGCATTTGCCCAGCTGAACCTGCCCAAGTGTGGCGTCCGCGCCAGTCCCGTGACACACTCATCCAGCAGGAGAGTGCGAAGCCAGGCTTGGGTAAGGATGAAGCAGCCACTCAGTACACGAGGGAATTGCAGGAGTCATGCGCAAACCCTCGCACGCACGCGTGCTTTGTTTCCAGGGGTGAGTAAGTGGGTCACAGCTACTGTCCTTGGGAGCAGCTCCGAGTCCAGGGGGGTTCCCCCATGCCATGGCTGTGCACGGGGACACTCTGTCCTGTGTCACGGCAGGGAAAGATCGTGAACTGCTGTTCTAAATTAGGCCTGGCCATGCTTTCTTAGCACGTCTCTCCTCTAAGTCTGTTTTCCCAAGGCTGGCTTGAAACGCAACAATTTTCTCTCCTCTGGAAGGATGCGTCACTGACTCAGAGGAATAGGAGCTGCAGGCTGCAGTCCCTGGTGGGAGGGTACAGGGTCTCCCTGAAGTGTGCCCAAGGCCCAGCTTGCTGGCCTGTGGCCCCTGCTCACTTCTCTGCAGTAGGACCTCTGGGAAGCCACTGGGCCTTGAGTCACCTCTGAGATGATACATACGCATTTTTTTGGTAGCTTCAGACCTGAAGGGGGTCGATACAGGTTTTATTTGGAAAAAGTATCTTTCGGGGTGTTAAGCCAGAGCTCCTTGGTTTGTTTGCTCTGGAGAGACTGGAGAACAGGCAGAAATGGTTTCACTGTGTGGTTTTGTTCAGTGAAGGAAAGGCCAGAACTTTCCGGGGCCTGCTGAATGATCCGGGGCCTTTGACCCTGTTCTACTCATGGTATCCGGGGGGAGGGGGGAGCAGGGCCCAGGGAAAGAACTGGGCCAAATGGACTGAGGAGCACCTGAGTTTGGACGGAGAAACCCTACTGTTGCCCAGATTTCTTTTTCTGATTCATAGGCCGGGCTCTGAGGCTCTGACTGTCCCCAGCGCAGGGCAAAGCCTGCTGAGGACTGGAGCTGTGGGGAGGGGCGGGCAGAATGGGGGAGAAGCACTCGATGTAGTTGTGTGGAATAAACAGTATTTTTTCTTTTGTATTGGTCTGCTTGTTTTTTGTTGACCTGTTGGAGCGGAAATACAGGGCACCCATGTCAGAGGCCAGGGCTAGGTAGGGAGCTGCCTTTGCTGGCAATGGGCAGCCTGGCAAATCTCACTACAAGCCCAGGGTGTGCAGAGCCAGTGGGAGAGAGTCCCTTCTTCTAGGCCATGCTTTTTGTTCCTAGGACCCCCAGAATGCCATGCCAAGCCCATTTCCCACACCACTCTGCTCCAGGTCCCAAGCACAAACTATGCTGTTGGCATGGAGGCTTGTAAGTCCAAGAGGTCCTACAATATAGCAAAAGACCTACAGCAAAAGACCTTAAGCTGGAAAGCTCATATAAACAAAAGGAATTTACTGTTCACAGTTCTGGCCTGGGAAATCCAAGTTCAAGGTGCCTTGGTGTCTGGTGAGGACCCTCTCCTCATGGAGGGATTTTTTCACTGTAACCTTGCAGGGTAGGTGGACAAATAAACTCCCTTGGCCTCTTTCTGAAGGGTGCTGACCCTGCTCATGAAGGCTCTGCCCCCTTGCAGACTTAAATCACCTTTTAAAAGGCCTCACTTCTGAACACTGTCACACTGGGCATTATGCTTCAACATATGAAATTTAGGGGTACACACAGTGGCCAAGAAGTAGTTGTTAGAGACTTGGGTGGCAGAGCCTGAATCTGCAGGTTGGGGTATCTACACGTGCAGAGGGGGAAAGGCTGGAGGTGAGGGCTGGGGTGCATTCTAGCATGGAACTTCAAGGAGACCTGGAGGGGCCGGTGTTGTGGCTCAGCAGGTAAAGCTGCTCCCTGTGATGTCGGCGTCCCAGGTATACGCCGGTTCAAGTCCCGGCTGCTCCACTTCTCATCCAACTCCCTGCTAGTGGCCTGGGGAAAGCAGCAGCAGAAGACTCAAGTGTATGGGACCTGCCACCCAGGTAGGAGACCTGGAAGAAACTCCTGGCTTCAGACTGGCCCAGCCCTGTGTGTTGTGGCCATCTGAGGCAAAAAGAGAGAGAGAGAGAGAGAGAGAGAGGTCTTCCATCTGCTGGTTCACTCCCCAAATGGCTGCAATGGCCAGAGCTGCGCCAATCCAAAGCCAGGAGCCAGGAGGGGCCCAAGCGTCTGGGTCATCTTCTACTGCTTTCCCAGGCCATAGCAGAGAGCTGATCAGAATTGGAATAGCTGGGACTCGAACCAGCACCCATATGGGCTGTTGGTACTGCAGGCAGTGGCTCTACCTTGCTATGCCACAGCACCAGCCCCAGTAAATCTTAAAAAAAAAAAAGAAAGAAAGAAAGAGTCCTACAGATCTAAATTCAAACTTGAGCTCCAGATCATTGTGAAGATACAGTTATCATGATAGAAGGCCAAAATGTTAACAGGTAGCCCAGCTTACACTCTATAAAATCATGCATAGCAGATTAAGCTGCCACCTGCAATGCCAGCATCACATATCTGAGCACTAATACATGTCCTGGCTGCTCCGCTTCCAATCCAGTTCCCCGCTAATGCACCTGGGAAAGCAGTAGAATGTGCAGGTGCTTGGGCACCCTGCCCCCACACAGGGAGGTACTCGATGTAGCAAAGATTCTGGTACAAGGCTCCAGAATCAGAAGCACTCTTTAGTACTCTGAAACAATAGCCTAGAACAATCAGACAGAAGCTAATACATAACCTTGCAACTATCTCACAACCGTGGGATTAGCTGTCCCTAAGGGGCTGTGACTCTCTATACACGGACTAGGGGCCATGCAATAGGTGATTAATAAATGTCAGACCAGATGACTGAATGCAAGGAAATGCTGAAAGCTGAGCCCCTGATGCTTCAGGCTACCAGGAGGAAGCCAGGCGAGGGGCTTCTGCTTCGCTCTGCAGCATTTGCACTGAGAAACGTGGGCGTGAACAGAAGCTAACCTGAGCCAGACTGCCCGTGGCAGGTCCACCGGAAGAGTCCCTGGGAGCTGAGATATCTGGCTCGGACTGGTTGAGAGTGGTTCCTGCAGTGGGCACAGGAGGGCTTTAAAGGAATAGGGCTGGGTTCGTGTAAGGACTGCAGCTGTTACTCCTGGGCCAAGGAAGTGCACTAAACTGAGGACGGCTATGACGGTGGAATTGCTCTTTTACGGACAAGAGAAGACTGGGGCTCGGTTCTAGACTAGAAATGAGAAGAAGAAGAACCCTAGATGGTTTGGAACTATGGGGCTGTGAATGTTTCTGGTTTCTTTCTCTCTCTCTCTCTCTTTTTTTTTTTTTTTTTAATTGATTTGAAAGTCAGAGTTACAGAGAGAGACAGAGAAAGAAACCCTCCTTCCCTGGTTCCTTTTCCAGATGACCACAATGGCCAGACCCGGGCCAGGCGAAAGCCACATGGGTGCAGGGGCCCAAACATGTGGGCCATTTTCTGCTGATTTTCCCAGGGCATCAGCAGGGTGCTGCATTGGAAGTGGAGCAGCCAGGACACAAACAGACACCCATATGGGATGCTGGTGTCACAGGCAGTGGTTTTACTCAGTACACCACAAATGCCGGCTCCCACGTTTCTCTTTTTATTTCCTTTTTTTTTTTTAAGGATTTATTTTATTTATTTGAAAGACAGAGTTACAGAGAGAGGTAGAGACAGAGAGAGAGGTCTTCCATCGGCTGGTTTACTCCCCAGATGGCCACAATGGCCGGAGCTGAGCTGATCCGAAGCCAGGAGCCAGGAGCCAGGAGCTTCTTCCAGGTCTCCCATGCTGGTGCAGGGACCCAAGAACTTGGGCCATCTCCTACTGCTTTCCCAGGCCATAGCAGAGAGCTGGATCAGAGGCGGAGCAGCCAGGACTAGAACCAGCACCCATATGGGATGCCGGCGCTTCAGGCCAGGACGTTAACCCACTGCACCACAGTGCCGGCCCCTCATTTCCTTTCAACTACAAGGCCATTTAAGAGAAGCCAGACTGCTCCCCACCCCCGGGCTCCCTGGGTGGGCTGAAGGAAGAAGTGAGGAGTTAAGGCTCCATGGCCAGTCCTCAAAAAGGCCTACTTGGGAAATGGTTTCTTCCTGTACCTGGAGGAGAACACCAGGATTGGCCTGGGAACCCAGCAGCAAGGAAAGAGCTGAGTCGCTGAGTGAGAAGGGACAGCTAGATCAGAAGTGGAGCAGCCGGGACTTGAACCGGTGCCCATATGGGAATGGCGGCACTGCAGGCTTTACCTGCTACGCTACAGTGCTGGCTGGTCTTAAGTGGTTATTTGCACCAAGCTGCTCTAAATCAGTTTCAGCTGGATTAAGACTGACCTGCTAAGCTGCACGTGTGCAGAAAGAGCTGCAGCTAATACCTGGAACCAAAGCTGTACAAGCCTCCCCCGAGTCCCCTACTCCCTGCCCACAGAGTCAAACATTGGAGAAGGCAGACACAGGAGTGTCAGACGGCTTTAGAAAGCCAGGGATCCCAGCATGACAACATCTAATGAGTGAATCTTCCTCATTCCAGTCCACACATGGCCCTGCCATGGACAGCGCCAGTCAGAAATTGGGGCAACTGTTTAGACACTACTTGGGGTACCCACATCCTGTACCTGAGTGCCAGGGATGGAGATGGAGTCCTGGCTTTGCTTTTTTTTTTTTTTTAAAGATTTATTTATATATTTGAGAGGTAGAGCTTCAGACAGAGGGAGAGACACAGAGAGAGGTCTTCCATCTGCTGGTTCACTTCTCAGATGGCCACAATGGCTGGAGCTGGACCAATCTGAAGCCAGGAGGCAGGAGTTTCTTCCGGATCTCCCACACGGGTGCAGGGGCCTAAGGACTTGGGCCAACTTCTACTGCTTTCCCAGGCCATCACAGAGGGCTGGATCGGAAGAGGAGCTGTTGGAAGAGGAGCAACCAGGACTAGAACTGGGGATGCTCGCGCCGCAGGTGGAAGATTAACCTACTGTGCTACAGCACCGGTTCCCCTCCCCACCCCCAGCTTTCCTTTTAATCTAGCTTCCTACTGATGTATGCCAGGTGATGGCTCAAGTAGTTGGATTCCTGCCACCCATGTGGGAGACTTGGATGGAGTTCTGGGCTCCTGGCCTTAGCCTGGTTCAGTCCCTGCTATTGTGGGCATTTAGAAAGTAAGCCAGCAGATAGAGGATCTTTCTGTCTCTTTGCCTTTCAAATAATAATAATAATAATAATAATTGCTTATCCTTGTGTCCACATCCTAACTTGTCTTTCCTGACCCCATAAAACTTTCTCCAGATCCCAGCATCAGGGAGATCATTTTTTTAAAGGATTTATTTATTTATTTATTTGAAAGGCAGAGTTACAGAGAGGCAGAGGCAGAGAGAGAGAGAGAGAGAGAGAGAGAGAGAGAGGAGAGAGGTCTTCCGTCCACTGGTTCACTCCCCAGATGGCTGCAAAGGCCGAAGCTGCACTAATCTGAAGCCAGGAGCCAGGAGCTTCTTCCAGGTCTCCCATGCGGGTGCAGGGGCCCAAGGCCTTGGGCCATCTTCTGCTGCTTTCCCAGGTCACAGCAGAGAGCTGGTTCGGAAGTGGAGCAGCCGGGACTGGAACCGGCGCTCATATGGGATGCCAGCACTGCAGGCAGCAGCTTTCCCTGCTATGCTATGGTGCTGACCCCCATTTTGGATTTCTACTTTTGTACCCCTGCTGTCAGGCCACACCCACACACAAAAAGCCTTTCTTAGGGTGTAGCAGGTTAAGCTGCTGCCTGCAATGCCGGCATCCCATACGGGCACTGATTTGAATCTTGGCTGCTCCATTTCCGATCCAACTCCCTGTTAATGCACCTGGGAAAGCAGTAGAAGATGGCCTAAGTGCTTGGGCCCCTGCACCCATGTGAGAGACCTGGAAGAAGCTCCTGGCTTTGGCCTGGCCAAAACCCAGCCACTGTGACCTTTTGGGGAGTGAACCAGCAGATGGAAGATTTCTCTCTCTCTCTCTCTCTCTCTCTCTCTCTCTCTCTCTGTGTGTGTGTGTGTGTGTGTGTGTGTGTAACCTTGCCTTTCAAATAAATA